TTTTTATTCTGTTACTAGCATGTATATATAGTGACAGCCGGAAAAAATCGCGCCACTCGACCGCCTCCCGATGGATGTAAGTCCATCCTAGCGGACGACTCGTCCATATCTACTCGTTATCCCTAAAGTGTACACATTTTGTAAATGCAGATTATACAAAAGATCAGAAAGGAGAAGGGATCAACCAAAAGTGTGCGAATGATTGCGCCCTCCATCTTGTAATATCGGACGTCTGCTTTCCTGTACCTGTTATAGGCAGTGTAATCGCACCACGTGCACCATACCTGTTGGGTGATATTGTTTATGATGTGTTTATGGCAGTAAAGAGCGTATCTTTAGCAAACCCGTTTCCTCGTTATTTATAGCAGCCACGTGGTGCCGGACGAGTTTTTCGACTGTATTCTCCCATGGTAAAAAAATGCCAAACTCGTCAATCACACGTTGACAGGTTGCAACCGCGTCGCTCACAAACGTCTCCGCCTTCGTCAACGAATGGAAATGATCTCCCCTTAGTAAGAGGGGTTCCTAGCGCTTTAGGAGTTCGCAAAAAATAGAGAAGATGAAGTGGACGCTATTATAGCGTTATCAGTAGATCTCCCCTTACCAAACTTAAAACTGCAACATACCGTGCACCAACAAGAAGTAACCGACGTGTTTTGTAAACACAACATGTTTTGTACACAATCGACCTCGCTTATTGCCTGCGTCGATCATCATTCGGTCGGAAGCGACGGCGACCCAGGACGCTCCACTCTGCGTCTCTATGCGAGCGCGGGACGAGTTGCGCAACTCTCGTCGTCTGCTGTGCATCGTCCAATCGTTTCAACTCGTCCGCTTTCGCTACACCCTTGCTATCTCGGCCCAATTCCTACTTGGATATTCGAACTTCTCCGGAAACGATGACCACATACACACCAGTTAAAGCAATTTTCAAACCTTCGCAACAACGTGGACGAGATATCGCGGTCTATGTGTTGCCGGAAGATCCCGATCTATGTATGGAATTTAGTTTTAAGAGATTCAATAGTCAAGGAAGTATCGCTAGTTATGTGTGCACGGCCTGTCGAGCGCTGAAGGACAGAGCTCCACGGCTATATGGGG